AGAAACAGCCCATTTGAAATGGTCAAACAGGGGCCAGCAGGGGCATGGAGGTTAAGGCACTGGATCCCACACGGCCAGCTCATGGTTTGAGTCCCCAACCTGGCGGCTTGAGAATACACAGGCGCGCGAGTGTGCGTGCTCAAAATCCTGCGAGGAGAATGCAGAAGTGACTGCAGTGTGGTCATTCCCCACGGGGGTGATTTTTCACTTCCCCTCACTCTCTGGCAAGGACACGGGCTGTATAGCAAAAGACAAACAAACAACAACAAAAAAAAACTGAAAAAGAAAAGATCAAACAGGTTATTCACCAAAATCAGGTGTGAAGGAACTGAATTCACCAGTCATCAGAGAAACATGAATTGAAGCCACAGTGAGATGCATTTCACCCACTTTGGTTTGGTAAAACCGAATGACAAAGAATGTGGATCAGCAAAACCTGCCCACCTTACCGGCAAAAATGTACATTAGTCCAGCCACAGTGGTTTTCAACTACGTCTGCACATTAGACTCGCCCGAGGAAATGTAAGACCAAAACTGATACTCCAGGTCTACCCCAGACCAACTAAATCAGCATTGGTAAGAGAGATTTTTAAGAGAGATTTTTGCTATAGGGCGTGTGCACTTGCCAGAAAGACAGACAGAAAGGGAGAAATCACACTCCAGGGGGGATAGCCACACCGCAATCCCTTTTCCCCCATTCTTTTCTTGGGATTTTGGGCACCCACGCACACATGCCCAGTATGTGTTTCAAGCCTCTTGGTCTGAGACTTGAACAGTGGCCTGTCATGTGGGAGTTCAGTGACATAGTCATTAAGCCATCTGCTGGCCCCAGCACTGGTTTTTTTTTTTTTTTTTTTTTTTAAAAGAATCATTTAATTTTTATTTATTTATTCATTTATTTGCATTTGACCAGAGAAAGGCAGACACACAGAGAGAAGGAAAGTGAGAAAGCAAGCCACCAGGTTCAGGACTTGAACTGTGGTTGGCCATGTGGGAGTGTCCAGCGCCTTAACCACCATACATACCATCTGTTGGTCCAACACTGGTATTTTTAAAAGGCTCTCTAAATAATTCTCATGTGCAGCCAGGATGGAATAAAAATTACTGCCTTGCAGAAAATCTACCAGCTGCACACCAAGACTTTTTCATGAGAGCTCACAGCCGCACTCACTGTTAATGACAATCTTAAAGATGTCTATTAACCTAAATGCCCATCAACTAGAGAATGGGTGTACAATTGTCACAGGTGTTGAATACACAACAGGGAAAATGAACTTTAAGCTACATAAACATGTATGAATGAATCTTGAGCAAAAAGTTAGTTGCAGGTGTGTGAGGCACCATTTATGCTTAAATACACGCACAGCAATACTGTATTAGAATGACATATATATAGTGTAATTATGGAAAAGTCCATGGGAAGGCCCAAAGAGAGTACATGACAAATGGGGAAGGAACATTTAAGCTGGGTGGTTGGTACACAAGTGTTCACAATATTATTTTTACAACTTTTTGTTTTGTTTTGTTTTGGCTATAGATCTCAATCCCCTCCCCTCCATTCGTCTCTTGGAATTTTGGGCACGCCCATGAGTCCAGGGTGCTTTACAAATCACCAGTTCTGGGATTCAAACTGTGCGATTCGAACTGCACTGCAGTCGGTCATGTGGAATCCAGCCACCCCAACCACCATGCCACCAGCTGGCCTGAATTTTTATAACAATTTGTACCAGAAAAAAAAAAATCACTATAAATTAAAAATAATGAGTTAAAAAACCAAAAACAGAGACAACTCTTTGGGGAAATTTTACTATGAATAACATAATCAAGAGAGAGTTTTTTAATAAAAGAAATATGCTATTATTCTTATTCAAGGATTTCCACGTCCCTTCCTTCTACTCACAGGGCCCTCCCTAAGCAATACCAGAGGCCCCATCATTTTCCTAATGAGCTTAACAAAAGCAGAGGAAGAGCAAGCGTAATTCCCCACTCCTTAAGGGCAGGCCATGCACAGTGACTTCCAGACTGCAGTGCGGCCAGGGCAGAGGGAAAGGCAGCTTTGCTGTGGGGAAACCCAAGGCACAGTTTTAGGCAAGGCAATCGAAGTCAGTACTATGGGGTCACAAATCAGGGTGACAGTTCGTACCCTTGATACACAAGGGCATCACGGTGACAGTCTGGTGACACGAGGGCAATAGCATTTGACCTTGACCTTGCTGGTCTTCCTCCCCAAACCTACACACCCGTCTAATAGGGAAAACACAGCAAATGCCAAGAGAAGGCAGCCTTCCACACACCGGCTGCACTCCCCCGCTCCGTGGAAACGCCCGTTAAGTTGGAAAAGCTGCGGGAAATGGCATGGTAAGAGCCTAATGAGACACCTCCGGTAAACGCGATGTGGGATTCTGAAACCAACCAGAGAGAGAACCGGGCCTGTATTTGTCTGGAGCAACGGAGCTTTTCAGAAGGCACAGAATCTCTGGCATCTATTGTCTAGTTTTTAAAAAGTACTACAGGCACTGGCAGGTGGTGTGGTGGTTAAGGGCGCTGGACTTCCACATGGCTGACCACGGTTCAAGTCCCAGACCAGGTGGCTTGAAATTCATGCTAGGCATGTGTGTGTACGTGTGTGTGCATGGCCAAGATCCTTGAAGGAGAATGTAGAAGGGACTACAGCAGGGCCGTCCCCCCATCGGTGATTTCTCACTTCCTCTCACTGTCCCCCTGTCCCCAGGAGTACATGTGCCCTAAAGCAAAAATCTCTTAACAAAAAGTACTACAGATGGGGTGATGGGATAGCTACTTGCCAAGTATGTTTTCTCTTTCCTAGTATATAGCTATGACCATAAAAAAAATATACTAATAAAACATTTTAAGGGACCAGCAGTTGACATAATAGCTATGTTGCTCGGCTCTCATGTAGTCGACCCTGGTTCAAGTCCCAGACCTGGTGGCTTAAACTCACGCTGGGTGCTTGTGTGCATGCCCAAGATCCTGAGAGGAGAATGGAGAAGGGAGTGCCGCATGACCATCCCCTGGGGGGTGATTCTCACCTTCTTTCTGTCTTTCTGGTGAGCGCACATGCCTCTCAAAAAATATATATATATTTTTTTTTAAAAAAGCTTGCCTAGAAATTGGTAAAGATTCCCCAAGTGTGATGTCCTGAGAGCCCAGCCAACCCCTGTAGACACAGAAGGGAAGGGAGTTTGCAGGTGTGGGGTAGATAGGTAGGATGACACGCTTATGTATGAAGAAAGGGTGAAATGAGGCTACGGGGGCAGGCAGGACCCAGGTCATGACAAGTCTTTTGTCTGGCACCAAACCATGACCTTACCCTGTAGACAAAGTGGAACCACTTAAGATTTTTTTCCCATTCAGTTTTTGCTATAGGGAGCATGTGCTTCCAGAGACAGAGGGAGAGAAAGTGAGAAAGCACACCCTCTCCCCTAGGGGGAATGCCACACCACAATCTCTTCCCTCCTATTTTCCTCTTGGAGAATCATACGCGGTCTGATTTCCAAGCCATTGGGTCTGGGACTTGAACCATGGAATTGGCCATGTGGGATCCAGCCACCTTAACCTCCATGCTATCTCCTGACCCACGACTTAAGATTTTTAAATAGGGGAAGGGTATGATCAAAGTTGGGGCTTGGAAAAGTTACTCTGATGGCATAG